TGTCTGCAAGCTCTTGTCTGACCCCAATGAACTGGGGACAAAGGGTCTCTGTGAATTGTAGCCGGGGGTCTTCCCCGCTGTCCTATAGATAGCCCTTCTGTTGGGGGCTAGAGGGATTCTTGGTGCCTTCCGCATCCTTTTGGAAGTCTGACCTCATCTGGAGCTGGTGAGAGTCGGGCTCCTTGTACAGTTGAGAGTGTTCAGGGCTCAAAATGTCCAACTATCATATAGCAACAGCACTTAGACTTACACACCGCTCCATAGGACCTTTGACAGCCCTCTCTGAGCGGTTTACAGAGTCAGCCTATTTGCCCCCCAACAATCTGGGCCCTCATTTTATCCACCTCGGAAGGATGGAAGGCTGAGTTAACCTGGAGCTGGTCAGGGTCGAACTTCCTGGCAGTGGGCAGAGTTAGCCTGCAATATGGCATTCTAACCACTGCGCCACCACGGCTTCCTTCCTTCCTTCCTTCCTTCCTTCCTTCCTTCCTTCCTTCCTTCCTTCCTTCCTTCCTTCCTTCCTTCCTTCCTTCCTTACTTACTTACTTACTTACTTACTTACTTACTTACTTAACTTACCTTAGCAATAGACTTATATACTGCTCCACAATGCTTTACAGCCCTCTCTAAGCGGTTTTCAGAGTCGGCTATTTCCCCCAACACTCTGGGTCCTCATTTTACTGACCTCGGAAAGACGGAAGGCTGAGTCAACCTTGAGCCAGTCAGGGTCAAACTCGTGGCAGTGGGCAGTCAGCCTGCAATGCTGCATTCTAACTACTGCACCACTACGGCTTCCTTAGTTCTTGTTTCCCTTCTTTCTCATACTTCCTTCCTTCTTTCCTTCCCAAGCAACAGCACTTAGACATATATACCACTTCACAGTGCTTTACAGCCCTCTCTAAGCAGTTTATAAAGTCAGCCTATTTGCCCCCAACAATCTGGGTCCTCATTTTACCAACCTCGGAAGGACGGAAGGCTGAGTCAACCTTGAGCTAGTCAGGGTCAAACTTGTGGCAGTGGGCAGTCAGCCTGCAATGCTGCATTATAACTACTGTGTCACCACAGCTTCCTTCCTTCCTTCCTTCCTTCCTTCCTTCCTTCCTTCCTTCCTTCCTTCCTTCCTTCCTTCCTTCCTTCCTTCCTTAGCACTTAGACTTATATACCGCTTCACAGCGCTTTACAGCCCTCTCTAAGCAGTTTATAAAGTCAGCCTATTTGCCCCCAACAATCTGGGTCCTCATTTTACCGACCTCGGAAGGACGGAAAACTGAATCAACCTTCAGCTGGTCAGGATCGAACTCCGGGCAGTGGGCCTGCAATACTGTCTTCTAACTATTGCGCCACCATGACGAAGGAAGGAAGGAAGGAAAGAAGGAAGGAAGGAGAAAAGGGAGGGAGAGAAAGAAGGGAAGGAAGCAGGATTTAAATTTATTGGTTTAAAACATTAAAAGAGCTGTCCATCTTTTAACCAGCTCTGGGCGTCTCCCAGCCCGACGCTAAACCGGCATACAACGCCATATTAAAACTTATCAAAGCCAACCCATTAAAGACGTGAAAAGCCATTGGCGCCGAGCCAAACGTCTGATGTGCAGCGTCTAATAAGGTTCTCGCAGCGCTCGGAGGAAGAGCCGGGACTTCAAAGCTTCAACGAAGGGTTGAGGCGGTGTAGTGGTTGCTTGCCAGACTCACAAGGCTTCACCAGATGGGTTGACCACCAACCACACTCCAGTTCCTTTCTTATCCGCGAAAAGACTCTCGCCCGTTTTCAAAATGAGAAGGACTTCCCCAATTGTTTTCCAGTAGAATAGAATAGAATTTGGAATGGAAAATGGAATGGAATAATAGAAGAATATAGAATGGAATATTACAGAATATTAGAATAGAATAGAATAGAATAATAATAATAATAATAATAATAATAATAATAATAATAATTAATAATAATAATAATAATGATTATGATAAAGTTGGAAGGGACCTTGGAGGTCATCTAGTCCAACCCCCTGCTCAGGCAGGACACCCTATACCATTTTGGACAAATGGCTGTCCAGTCTCTTCTTAAAAACTTCCAGTGTTGGCGCATTCACCGCTTCTGGAGGCAGGTTGTTCCACTGGTTAATTGTTCTCACTGTCAGGAAGTTTCTCCTTAGTTCTAGGTTGCTTCTCTCCTTGATGAGTTTCCATCCGTTGCTTCTTGTCCGGCCTTCTGGTCCTTTGGAGAAGAGCTTGACTCCCTCTTCTTTGGGGCAGCCCCTGAGATACTGGAGCACTGCTATCATGTCCCCCCTCATCCTTCTCTTCATTAAACTAGAAATACACAATTCCAGCAACCGTTCCTTCTATGTTTTGGCCTCCAGTCCCCTAATCATCTTTATTGCTCTTCTCTTTGCTCTTTCTAGAGTCTCAACATCTTTTTTACATCGTGGTGACCAAAACTGGATGCAGTATTCCAAGTGTGGCCTTACCAAGGCCTTGTAAAGTGGTATTAATACTTCATGTGATCTTGATTCTATCCCTCTGTTAATGCAGCCCAGCACTGTGTTGGAATAGAATAGAATAACAGAATAGAATAGAATAGAATAGAATAGAATAGAATAGAATAGAATAGAATAGAATAGAATTACAGGATAGAATATGTTTTTATTTTTGTTTATTTTTTAAATTTATGTATAAAATGTATATAGTCCTCAACTTAAACCATCACAATTAGGGCCAGAATTGAAGTCGGTTTTACGATGGTGATGGGTGGGCTTCATTAATGGCTGTTACTTGAGG